TCTATTCCGAAGAGAAATTTATATGGATTTAACACAACGCACTAATTTACGCAAGTACAACGTTCGCCAAATACAAATGGTACATGACAAACCGAGCTAATATGGATAATCACCGGACACAGTAGTTACTGCCACAGAAGCCAATGATTAAGATTAATATTAGCGAGTCTGACAGCAACGATGTTATCATCGTGCGACACGCACGGAACAGGACGGAACGTCATTTGTATCATTAGGATTCTGTATTCTCAATATAATACGGATTTTATAACAATAATAAAGAAAACGAATTTTAGATAGGTTTGTTTTAACTACTTTAATTATGTAACAGTCATATCACGCGCTTGTGTTATTTCGTAATTTTCCCCCTAAATATGTTAAGTATAATCGTAAAAATCTCATAATCTCTTGTCGACTAATTGCAAAATTGCCCACAAACCAAGTTAATGTGGATAATCACCGAACATCGTAGTTACAATGATTAAGATTAATATCACCAAACCTAGCAAGAACGATATTATCATGAGATGCGACAAGAAATGGCAGAGACCATAATGTAACAATTGTGCAGGGAAATAGCATTCTACATACTGTAATTATTAATATAAATTAAAAACTTCCAAATATATCCGATAGATACAACATAACAACATAATAATATACAGTGACATAAAATAATGTAAAAAGACACAATAATAATATAATAAAATATAATAATACTTCAAGAATAAAAATATTTTACTATTTTCTTAGTTTTCAATTGTATCTGAAATATAAAATAAATACTTATCCGTAAGAAACTTTTTCAATTAAAACGTAATATATTGTAAGAGAAAACTAATTTAAGAAATTTATAAAAACGTATTTAATTTGCACACAAACACGAAACTAATGCAACTACTCATCAGACAACGGTTGTTACCATATCCGACAAATAACATTAATGTCATCTAGCGTAATAAGTGTAATAAGTAATAATGTGTAATGTATTACAATTATAATGCACACGCCCACAGCGGAATAGAATATTATCTGAATAATTAAGATAAGCAGTCCGCGAGGTGAAACGTAGCGTGCATTAAAAAACTCTCAATAGTTATTAATAGTATTTCATCTTACAAATAAAAACAGCTATTTAAAATTTCGTATTCTACCAACTGATAATATTTCCACGTAACTCCCTTATATACCGTTTAATTAAAAAATTAAATTACATCCCCGACTCTTCGAGATATTCACGATTGCGATAGAAGTTTGCATCTGGCTTGCCTTTTCCAGCGCTAAAACTTCGGATCGTCTCCGTGAATAATATTCCTGGTCGCTCGTGGCCCATTTCGCAAACGCAGTCTCTCAATTATAACTACTCACAACAGCGGCAGTTTCGCTTCCGATACACGCGTAGACCGGCTTCAAACAACTGTCGGTACTAAAGACAACTCCCGAGGCGCACCGAAACTAAGCCTAAGTAACTGCGCGAAGTTTTCCAAAGGTGAGAACCCGAAATTCGCGGCGCTCGTACGCTCTAAATCGTCCTAACGTCACGGCGCATCCGCGCTTAGTTGACGGCCTCGATAGTAAAATAAAAATCGTGCCAGAGCTCGTTCTATTGTAAGTCTATAATTAATTAAGCCACTTGTCTTACACGAGAGAGCGTTAACTGTGAACCGTCTAATGTCTCGGCACAACCGTGTCTCGGCAGATCAGTCTGCTGCGTGTGCGCGCATCTATGCGGAGCACTCGGTCGTGATATTCCTGGCTTAACGCCGCCCTCATCAAAATTGTAATTAAACTCCATACACGTAGTTCTCGATTCGGGCGGCTAATGCGTTCGCGACAGCTAGGCGTGTAAATAAATTCGCGCGGAACGACTACAAGCGTAATTCTCTCACATTAAATGTTGGCGATCCTTTGTTGAGCGCGCGCGCGCGGCTCCAGTTTACGGATTTTCAGCTCGTGGGTAGTTTTTTAACTCACTAATTGCACAAGCCGAGAATTACTCTTACTTCCATTGTAAATTTAAACGAATTACTTTATTTAACATGCAACGCTGTAGATGCAGCATCGCGTCTGCAGTATATGTATCGGGAACGGATAAATGGACGACGAATTCGCGCCAATAATTCAGACGTTTTGGTTTCCGCACTGTAAAAGGGTGCAAGTTCTTGGCGCAAAAAGAGAGAGAGAGAGAGTATTTAATCGATGGCTCAATTTCGAGCGTTTAATTAAGGGGTCTGCATCGTGCTTAATTCAATGTCTCTATCGTCGCGCCGCGGACGATTTCTAGACGCTATCGGCGGTACCTCGTTTCCCTTTACGTGGAAATTCAAATGCGCAGGACGATCCCTGCACCCTTCACGGCGGCCTCTTTCCCGTGCCACTCACAGTAGCTTGATTACAGTCGCGAAACTCCATTGTCACTCCTGCGCAAACTCATTTGATTTCTCTCGACGCTTTTTCGACGACTGCTGTGCGTTTGCCGGGAAAGAGGCGAGAACGAAAGGTTTGAACCGGGGAACACAAGGACGGGTGTTTGGGAGACTCGGCAAATCCACAGATTTACCGTTTTTAGAATAACTAGTCTGACTTTTATAAATTAGCGTGCTAATTTAACAGTCTGACTTCTCTTTGTTAAAAATATTAATTACGGAAGCAAATTATACATACTCGGCATTCAACAGTCGATATAATGATCATGAGTAAACCCCAGTAGTTTGTATGATCTTCTTATTTTAATTTTAAAATATATACCATATTTATAGCCCAATGAAAAATTGTGGAGATAAAAAAAGAAAACAATATATTTTTACCCTCAATATATAACATAATTTTGATAAATGAAGTCTGCATTCCATTTCGGAAGAAAGACAATTTCTTTTATGAACATTAGTAAGAAGTTTATACGTATATTTTATAATTTTACTTTTAATATTAACGGAAAAATAACAAAACGAGAACAATATTTGTGTTACCATCGGAAAAAGCTGAGGATAACTTTTATGCAAAAAGAAACTTCTCTCTAGGTGCTTTTCTAGGAAAAAGAAATATAATAATATTTTATATAATAAGTATAATTATAATTTATGTGAAGTACAGAACAATATAGATTTTAATTTATGTAATGGATTAACTGCTACTACGTAAATATGTATGTGAAATGATAAATGATTAATATCAGTTGCTTATTCATCGTTATCTAACATGCTTTGACCAGAGTGCTCTGCTAAAATATAAAATATATATTTTCTTGCAAATAATTTTTTTTTAGTGTGTACTAATCTTTCAAGATTAGTCGACGAGAATTTTTCTTGATAGTATTTCATTTTATCATGTTTGATATACATACTTCCCGGACATGAATAAAAGATTGCATACGACGAAGCGTAAAAACCCGTGAGAAAAATTTTTCGTGCTGCGTGCCAAAATTTTATCGGAAGACTATGTAACGTTGCTGCATAAAAGAATATATATGTAAGTAGAATTGTGTGGTAATGGAAAACTTTGGAAAAAAAAATCGATCCAGACTTCGTGCCTTCGTGCTACCAATTTGTGCCATCGTTATTTCATGCCAGTTACATGCAACGATTGTCATACGGAACTACAAACAATATACCGTAATTGCAACAAATTTATATCCCGTTTGTTGGTAAACCAAAAAAAGCCAATTTTACGTGCCGCAGCGCGAAAGGATCAACTCTTTCCCGCAAGTTGCTTTAATTGGCATGTGCTCACTTCGGAAGAGAAAACAGTCGCTTTCGAGGGCAGAAATTCGCTCGAACGCAACTTGAATTATCTCACAATTGCCACTATGAATAATCAAACGCGATTTTTTTAATATATATATAAGAATAGGTCTAATGTAACTTTATTAACCCCGCGATAAAAGACGCGAATTGAATTGTGATACGATAGATAGCGCGTTTCCGTCGCATCACGTTATTTGACTCGCTTTTTTTGTCCACGTGTCGACAACAGAAACCGTTATGAAAGAAATGTGCATTATTCGCGAGATACGATCGTCGGCGTTGATCGTGTTGTTTTCGCGTGGCTCTCAGCCACGGATGTTTGCCTTTGCTCGCGGCGTCGTGCGGCGCGATGAGCGTCGAGACGCGACGACGTAACCAGCGGGGGAGCTATTTTACGAAAAGGGAAGACTTTTCCGCGTTTTACACACGTATTAATTCGTCACCCCGTTTTTCGGTTTCTAACCATCTGGCGTCTGGAAGCGCGAAGCACCGCGGCTTCTTGGCGAATTGCCGCGCTAAAAGTGAGACAGAAAAGTATTTGTTACGTTTTCTTGCGACAATGAACATTTTTGTGATAATGCAGTTCTACGATAACGAACTTCAATGTTTCTTCAATGTTTCTTCGCGATTTCTAAAGCCAAAATTCCCCCCCTCCTCTAAAAAAAAAAGCACTGTTTTACGATAATATTCCTTTTACCGCGGTCATCAATTTCATCAATAAATTCCCATCAATTTCTAACGTATATCATTTTATATCCGCCATTCCGATAAAATTTATGTGACATCGTGCTTAATTTAATGTCTCTTTATTTTATTTCACGTCGAAATACATCGAGGTAACGGAAAACAGTTATCGTTTTGCGAAATTATACGTATGCAAAGCAGATTTGAAAAATTAAATTTAAATGTGATGATAAAATGCATTTCAAATATACATTTCATTATCGAAATTTTGTTCCGAGAGAAAGAAAATGTTAAATTCACGCAAATATTCACGATATCCACCGAGAACGCAATATCGCTCTGCCGGCGACTCATGCGAAAGAATCGCATCTAATCTGTTAATTTAATTTTTAAAAAAACACAAACAATATGGAATACTTTGCCGCGCAACGCGTCAGCACGCACACATACGTACACGGACGCCCACGGATCAATTTATCGAAAAGGTAAAAGTTACGTGGGCGAGATCGGTTTTTCCGAACGTTCGCACAAATCTCACTACGACACACTCCGACGCACACGCAGGTCGCTTACCTGTTATCGCCAGGAGAGCGACGGCCGCTTCTAGCCACAGGTGGCAAGTCTTCATCTTGACGGCGCGTACGGAAGGTCCGGCGGTCCCACGACGATCAACCATCCGCGGACTCGCGGTCTCACAGACACTCAGGATCCACCACTCGCGGCGGCAGTCAGGTCGCGTGAACGGAACTGCGTAGCGAAACAACTACCCGGCACCACATCTGCTTCGCTCTCGCACGGCCACGGCTCTTCCCCTCTGACCCTCGCTGGGTCGCAAATCACTCGTTCGTTCGTTCGAACGAATCGTCGCGAATCGTAGAACCGGCGCGGTGGATGAAGTCTCGAAAAAGTTGCCACTCGTGTCGCGCGTACTGGCCGGACTGACGCGCGCCGCGGTACTCACCGTCCGCCGGAGATCTCGCGGCAAACTTCACGCCGAATCAACTCCGGTCTCTCGCGACGCGGACGGCCGGAAAACGGTCGAATTCAAATCACCGGGGCGTCGGGCGTCGGGATTTATCCTCTTCGCGCGCGCCGCGTGCTCGGAAAAACTTTCCCCCGGCTGCCGCTTCCACGTCCCGCGCGCGTCTATCTCCCTTTGCTCCTTTTTTTCCACCTTCTTCTCTCCTTACGCGCGTCGATCGCGACGTGTCCGATGATCGACGGCGGCTCGTCGGCGAAGCGTTATCGATCACCGCGTGTGCCAACGAGGAGAGCGCGGCACGAGCACGAACGCGAGGATTTTAAGCACTGTTGACAGGGTAATTGCACGTATATCTGCACTGGATTGCGACGGACGAGACTGAGCGTCGCCGCGCGAAGCCGTTTCTGTCGCGAGTCGCGCCTGCGTCGACCGCCCTTTTATCCCCACCACCGCGCGCCGACGATCTCGCAGCGCGCTTCCGCACCGCTCCCCGCGCGGTCGCTTCCACCCACCCCCGCTACCCGCCGCGGGCGCGCACGTCGCTCGTCGCTGGTCGGCTCCTTCGCGCTTCGCGCTCTTCCTGCTCCTGCCTGCGTCTCTCGCGCGGGTTTATCCCGCTTTCGCCGGGAAGCCGCGCGCGCGATCTCGTTTTCTCGTCTTCCCTCCTGGCGCTTGCTTCTCGAACGGCCCGCACCCCGCGGCTAGGCCACACATACACACACATACACGTAGGCAAACCCCCCGAACCCGAAGATCCGCGATTTTATTCCGCACCTCCCTTCACACGCGACGGGCCATGAGGGCGCGCGGGCGATTGCCTGCCGAGTGCCGACGGTCTCCGTAGACCTTCGGATTCAATTTGTTCGTTGGCCAAAAGTTTTTTTTTCTTGATGAATGTGGTTTGTTACGCGTGTCATCATTCGACCGACATTAGGGCCATATTGTCGGCCCCGGGGCGTACGCTCCTCGCTCCTCGTGCGCGTAAGTTGATCGCACGGATCATGATTATCTCGAGGTCTATACGTGTCTATCCTTACTGAATCCTAGTCTTGCATCTATAGTTCACGATTACTGTAGATTACTCTCCGATTTATTTTAATTCGTATATACACATTAAAAAAAACTCATTCAACATTCAAAACTCACTTTTGTTAGAAGCATACCGTTTGAGATGCTCGGCGAACAGTTGATAATAAAATAATTGTAATAAGAAAGAAAAGGAGATAAGAGAGATATAAATGTTCTGATGTCTTGTACTATTTTTAATCCCTTTAATCCCTTAGGTACATTATTATGGCTTCCCTACAAACGTTATTTTTTAAATGAAATATATTGTGGTTCTTTTATTTACTTTGCATTGAGAATGTTTATGTTTATGTTACATTATTCTACTTATTTCTAGTTTCCCGCGTGTAAACAAATTAAAATACCGTTATTATTTATCCCTTTATTATTTTATATTGACGCTGTAAAGCAGCAGACAGTAGATATTGGTATTTAATGAGGCAGAGTTATTCGTACAGTGATAGAGCTCTACGTCCAGCTCGGCCGTCGCGAAAAGATTAAAAATTGCGAACGTCTAACTCTTTACCTGTCCTAATTCCGCACGGAAAAAATGCGATTTATTCTGTATCCGCCGCGTCATACATCGAACTCCGCGAGACACGTCGCGGAAATGTACATCTACGTTGTTCCCATGCTTCCCGGAATTGATCCCCGCAGCGCGGATTGCGTTGCCCGCAGGCGCCACGAACTGCGTAAATGACGTATGCTGATCGCTCGCAGGGCCTCGTTTCGAAAACATTGATGCACGATATATTCGCAGGAAGCAAACCAGATCGGCATAATGTGCACCATGGTACCCATAAGTAGTAGAAGCCATAGATCATAGACCGAGTGGCCTAATTTTGCCGATGCCATTGAAAATGCTTTGTAACAAGTACATCAAACGCAATGCTGCGGCTTACAATGAATAGATACAAAAAGGGGACTCTCACTTGTTACATATTTAAAAACTTCCGATATAAATCTCTGAGGCTTAGAATATCTATATGACGCGCATTCACGAGTAAAAAGGGAATAATTAATTTCGACACAGATAACGTGTAAAATACTGTTAAAAGATATGATAACATTAATAAGATGCCATTGGTACATACGTATATAGGTATGCTATTGAATCCCAATATTGCTCCCCTTTGTGCTACTCTGGCAATTTTAGTTAGAAATGAGCAGATATTTCAACACACAATAGTACGAGCTAAAGCGTTACGAGCTTCATCCCTCAAGTATTTCATTTTTCGATCAATCGAACGTATTATTCCGAAGAACAATGTTAAAGACACGCGTTAACTTTGGCAAAATTCTAACACGTAGTATTAAAGGAATTAATTTCTGTGCATATACCGATGTAATTTGCGTACCAATATAAAGAGATATAATCTAAAATCCTTATTAATTGTTAAGTATTTTTTTTTAATGATGAAATTTTTGCAATGAAGTTCTTCGAGATTAGAGAGGAGACTTTGTGTGATAATGAATTATACAGTATTAAATTAAATCGTTCATTTAATTGAATCGTTCATTTTTAACCCGCGCTAGACAAATTTTAAGAATTTCATTAAAATAAGTATATCATCAATAATGGTGTATCTTGATTAGTGCTCCGAAACTCAACTTACACACCACTTTCAGGATTAACAGGTCTATTACCCCGGTGAAACTTAACCGCAATTCACGCCGCGGTATCTCGTACATCTCATTAATCGAGCGATTACACGTTTAATGAAGTGCGAACGTCTAAAATGTACTTCAAGATTAATTGGAACGCGACTATTCTTAGACGCAGTCAAACTTTCCGCCGGATGTCTTGCGCGCGCGATGGGATTCTGAAGTTCGCCGTGTAAAGGGCTTTAGATTAGAGCGGATAATTCTGTTCGGATTTACGCGTGCGCGAATTTCCGAGCGACTATATACGGGATATCGCGGAAAGTTCTCGGATTGCTTAGAGACGACTGGCGCGCAAGGATTTGAGAATTGAGAGTAACGGTATATAAAAGTTAAGGGGAGAAAGGTAATATTCTCTTATCTATACGTCAAAACGTAAAAGTCGCATAAAAAAGAAGCTAGCGGTCGCGAAAGCGTGTTGAAGCGCGATTCGCGCGCGTTTCCATACAAGTTCCAGTTTCTGGACGATAGAATAAGAATCTTATTCGTCTTCGCCGCTGATGCGGGTATCAAAAGGCACTTGGCGCCGCGCATTCATGAATCTCCGATGCGCGATTTGCTGCTTAAACATGGAGTCGCCGCGAGATCGTCATAGACCGGTCAGCACGCTCTCTTTATGGCGGGTACATCTACGCCTGCAATTTATCTTTCGCGCTCGCGCGCGCTCTACTGCGCTCCCTGCCTTCCCCTTTTGTCGCTTTTCTTTTCTCGCCTACCCCCGTCTCCGGCTTTGCTCCCTCGTCTCGTGAATCTTGACCCCGGAAACGGCCGCGAAAGGAGGGCGCGCGCAGAAAGAAGACGGCGGGGTGCAAAGGGGGAAGGGGAAAAAGGGAAAAAGACGGTTGAAATATCACGAAGACATCATTCGTTACCGCCGCGTCGTTTATCCGTATCGCCACCCTCCTTATGACCGTATAAAACAGCTTTCCATCCTCATTCATGATGACGGCACGACGCGGCGGCGCGACGCGACGCGACGCGACCGGCCGAAAGTCGCGCCGAGCCGAGCTGAGCCGAGCCGTCGAGATTCGCAAGATCGCACTTTAATAGGATAGCACGAGCTGGGAGGAAAAAGAAGGAGAGCGAAAGGCAAGGGGAGAAAACAGGGACGCTTTTTTCGGTCGCGCCCGGGCCCGCCGGCATTACTCTCGCGAGGACAGGAAGCACCGAGGCGCTAGGCGGGAGGGTTGAGACCCCTGAATTATCGCGCGGAGTTATTTCTTCTTTCTATGTATCGTTCTTTACCTCGGGGGCGTGCACACATACGAAGCGCAGGGCTGGGTGCACGGGCGCTAACTCGGGCACGAAAAACAGGCAAGTTAGAAGAAGCTACAAATACATTCCCACTCGAGCGTCCTACCGTATATTTCTACCTGAACAATTAAAAATCTATTTTTATTTAATATTTTATTACGTTCATATTTTCATCCACGAAGAAATCCAAGAGCTTTTACAGATGTAGCGGTTAAAAAAATGTGTTTATACTTTATGTGTAAGTTTATGCGTAGGTATGCATTATTATGACAATAAAAAACACATTCCTATTGTCTTCTCCACAAAGAACAAGCGCCGCGCATTGATCCATCTAAAACCGTCCCTGGCTAGCTAGAAGCATCTCGGATCTATGTGTTCCCGTTGTTGCTTTCAAAATGTATGCGTTACCTACGAAAGCGGAGGATGAAAGTTATGCGCTTTGCCTATACGGTTGCGCCGCACCGAGAGATATCGGGAATGGAGTCGGGAGAGTCGGTCGCGGAAGAGAGGAAGATATGCAAAAAACCGCAACGCACATCGTCCTGCTAGAAATATTGGATGACACGCCACGCACTCTTCTGCGGCCATCGAAGCCGCTTTTGTTTTTCCTATCTCCCTTCCCTTTTCCGTTCTCCCTTTTTCGCGCAATGTATTTTACGAACGCCTGGCTTTCAGCCGACGTTTTGTTTTGCCCTCGACGCCGAACGGCGCGACGCGAAAGAGATTGTATCACGGCCCGCGAGATCTTTCGCCAAACTTCGTCGAATGCCACGAGGGAGAACCGGCGAGAAACTTTGCTGTTTATGGACAATTGATAAACGCGGTATACGCCGACGAAAAAAATGCTATTTGCGAATGCTATTTACTCGAGAGTTTCTCGGTTGGATTAAAAATATGCGGTTTAAACGATACAGGTTCTGTGAGACAGTGAGAGTAAATATTGGACGTATACGTTCGTCATGCGTCTTCATGCGCAACCTCGCCTACGGGGAAAAAGGGAATAACATATTATTTCTATAATATTTTGCTTCAGGAAAAATGTTAGCAGTGAGCACAGCAGAAGCAAAAACTGATTTAGCAGACCGGATTGTCGACGCGTTTCCTAGATTTTCCTTCCCCAGTTAATTACAAGCAGCTATTTTAAAAGAGAAGGTTAATTTTTAAAAATTTCCATTTCTAGATAATGAGAGAAAATTCAACGATAATATAAATATTTCCTAAAATAAATTCAATTAAAAAGATAAGTGTCACGAACGAGATATATATAAATAATTAGAAATTAATAGATGATTGTAATAAAGGTTTATATCCATGTGATGGAATAGCGGAAGTATAAAAAAAAATTTATTGTTCTAACAAAATGAAATGTTTTTCCCTTTAAAACATTCGCGGTAATAAAATATTTCTAGTTCGATCTCTGAAAATGATTTATCGAGCAAAGAGAACTTCTTATCTCACGTCGTACATCATATCTGAAAAAAGTACAACGCGGGACGATTCTTCAGCACCGTTTAACGATTGTCCGAAAACTCGAGTCTCCGAGCAAAAAGGAGAGGCGAAAGATCGAACGAAAGCGCGTCGACGCGCGCGTGCAAATTTCTGACGTTACGGAGGCGGAAGTCGTGACGACAACAGTTTTGAAAGTGGCGTTTCAAGCCCGATGTACGCAGCTTTATAGACATACTGCGCGCACGCCGTCGGAATAACAAATGCTCGGGAGCTCGGGAGACCGTTTTCTCGCTACGGTCTCCTCCCTGCTAGTGATGCGACATCGCGTTAAAAATAATCGATTCTCATAATCGATTAATTTTAGCAAAAAAGAATTTACGATTCGATTAATCGGACTAAAATGAATCGATTCTCAAATAATCGATTAAAAATCGGGTTCTTATCTAAAGATTTTGAAGCCATTAGACTGACTAATTATGATGTAAAAATTTAAATAAAGCACGATTAAGATCAAGAATTTGATTGCAATCAAAGGTTTTTAATAATAAAACAAATGTAATTGCAACACGCTATAAAATTTTTATTTAATTGCACATTCAATAAACTTAAATCATTGCTGTAGATGCAGTATCAATATCTATACTGTCTTCAATTACAAAATTATTTTCGGAGCATTTGCCTTAATTCGCATCTGGATAATTGCATCTCAATGTACGTCCCAATATTGGCTGAAATATATTTGCAAATAATTATTTTCAAATATATATTTTCACAGGAAAATATACATATACTTAAAGTCGTTATTTCCATTACTTGCAAATATATTTTGTTCGACACTACTGTACCGATACTACTAATGTCACCTCATTAATTGGCGAATGCACGCAGACACACTCCTCGCATAAAAATAACATACAAACGTAATCTGAGATATTGACATTATAATTTAGTGCCTCTTTGTTAAAATTATGGAAGGTTACTAAAGTAATAACGAAAAAGAATTATTACATGTTCATCATAAAGTCGCGAAATTCTTTTACAACAGAATACCCCACTTGCACAAATTTGCAGTGAATACATTAATACGCCCGTTACCAAAATCGACTTATCAAGTACAAGTATAAACGAAGCAAAATGAAACTTTGAATAATAATAGTTATGGTAAAATGAATAATAGTTATGGCAAAATGAAACTTTGAATAATAATAATGTGGTATACGGGTGAGACGCCGCACCGCTGTGACTTAGGTCCAGTATTTTTTAGGTAGAGATCCTAGAAATATAATCTCCGATGCCCTTTTTCCAGTAATTCTGCTTCTTTTTGCGCTAATAATATCTCCAGCAGCACTAAATAAGCGTTCAGATGGGACAGACGTTCCCACAATCACGAAATATTTCATGGCTATTTCGTACACCTTTGGATAAATATCCTTCAGTTTATACCAAACTTTTAGTGGATCCTCGCTTCTGTTGACGACATTAACATTAAGGAACTGTCGAAGTTCGACTGGTACGCCACCAGGCTCGTCGCAGTTTGTTGATGAAGATGCTATCAATTCATCGTGAACGTTCCACAAATCTTTTGTTTTCTCAATAGTATTTGATATATTATCTACGACAGCAGTAGATTGACTCCCTCTCTGATTTTCTTTCATCAATTGACATATCTTACTCATTGCTGTAGAAACAGCTAATGGACTGCGGAAGTGCAGTTTCTTGCTCGATTTGCCAATCCAAGTCGCTAGATTTGGCCATCATATGGTGCAAAGCTAAATCGATCGAGGTTCTCCGCCGGAGAGCGTAGCCGTTGTTAACGGTTCCTCACGTGCTCATACGAGACCTCGCTGTTTCGACTGATGCTTTAGGACCTGTAGAAGAACAGTAAACCGTAGAATAGCTGGGTAAATCTAAGGTACAAACACTACAAACAGGTAATAGAATAAAGCATTAACAGAGAATTTACACGCTGCACATAGTACTTACGGATTGTCCTCGTCGTTGTCGTTCGTCTTCGTCGACCTCTGGTTTCACCGCCGTGATCGACACAATGAAACGAGCGAATCGTCGCCGAGTTTCTATTAATAATAAAACAATACGACCGGGAACTCTTGTAATGGCGGAATTATTCGCTGCATTCGCTTCAAATCGAGCTCCAAGTCGCTCGCAATCGGCGATACACACCAAATTGTTTAATATAAAGACGTAATTAGAACTTTCGAAGTAAAATGGGCTGCACGTGCACACGGAATGCGCAACTGAACACGGTAACGGTTACCGCGCGGCGACAGTTGGCGAACTTTGATTGGCTACCGCGTCGCTTCTTGCCGCGCGCAAGCGTGTTGCGTCCCATGTGTAGGAGCCAATAGGCTCCCTGAAAATAATCGATTAAATTGATTATCAAGAAAAAAGAATCGATTCGCAAATAATCGACCGTCTGAATAATCGATTAATAATCACGATTAATTCATGAAAAAGAATCGATTCTCAAATAATCGAATCAGAATCGCGCATCACTACTCCCTGCACCCCGGACGCCGCGCCGCAGCGGCGATTTATCGTCCCGCGTCTCATTCCGAAAATTGTTTCGTCACGCTTTTACAGCCCGTCGCCTTTCACGTTATTTCCCTCTTTGTTTCTTCCCCCACGTTTCTTATCATTACGTTAATAAACGAAGGATTTCATCTCCCGCTTTAGCGGCGTAAATTTCTCTTTGACCTCAATTCATACATTTATTTCTCTTACGTCGCTTATATCGCAATACGTAGAAGTAATCTCGACAATCTCGATGTTTTGATTCGTTGTTCAAAGTGCGGAAAGTACAGGTGTGGGGGCAGCAAGTGCAGCGTCCTCGCGACAGTCGCTCCTGGCCGCGTGAAGTTGGCCGCGCGATTTACGAAATTCTCGCTCCGCCATGTTAGCGTCCACTTGCCTGCGGGACGTCACGGGCGTTGAGCGGTCAAGCGGATCGTAATGATCGTATTAGTTTCGTTCGTAGCTTCTCCGCCGTAATTCTTCCGTTATCGTGTAGTTATGCACGCGCCGCGTCGCGAGATTAATGCCGGGAGTGCCGTGCAAAGTGTCGCGCGATCATAAGCGACGATATCGTCGATTTTCGTGAACGTCGCCGTGTCGCGTTGCGTCGTGAGTGAGATGCGACAACGGATCAACCGAGGCTGGGATCGAGGAGAGGAGGAGGGGGCCTGGGAGGCATCGGGCGACGGCGGAGCAACCGTGGGGTGAGTAATTATTATTCGTTTATTATTTTGTTATCCTATGGCGGATTCCGCCACTTTCTCAAGCGCGACTTGATTCGCTCATTCATTACACTTGATACTCGAATCGTTACTCGTGCAATAAGTACCGTTCGAGGTTTAACTCCGGCGCAATTTCGCAATTTCAGAGTTCGATCTCCGGCATATGCGAGGAGAGATATTACGTCGCGAACGTCGCGTCTCGCTCTCTTATTCGCACGGTCGTGATATTACTTGCACGATTTCTCGCGGATTAATTATGCGAACGAGTTAATGCGGAAATATGCAGCCGCTTGCGGCGCCAGCGGCGCGCGCGGCCGCGATTGTATCTGCTAAAATGACGTTTTAAAAATTTAACGGGCGCTATAATTATTTACTTCGAGTATTGATTATCTTGGACGCTGCTTTAATATGAAAATATTTTTATGTTACAGATCAACGCAGGGTTACAACTTACAACTCCGCTGTTGCGCGTCGGCCGGTGAGTTATTTCAATGTTTATTTCATTGTTTATTGTTTATAATTTATAATCCTCGGCTGACACAAGGTTTTATCACACAAGGTTACGCGCACTTAGTGATACTGATACCTGAATAGAGCTGCGGCTTCTTCGGCATGAGTAGTATTATAGGGATGGAATGGAGGTAGTCTGACTAGGCACATCGGGTTCGGTACCATTCTGGTATCACTGTATAAAGGGTCAATTGAGAGTCAAGTTGAACGATGTAGTTTCTATCTTTTTTTTTTCTCGACGAATCGACAAATGCCCACGGTGTATCGAGTCGATCGACGCGAAAATACGCCCGAGTCCCGTATTCGACCGACAATAAAGCATCTCTCGCTCGAAGCGCGCGACAGCGGTACAGGAGTCGAAACATACTCAAGCCTGGCTGCCACTATCTCCCCCTTCTCCCCCCCTCTCTCCGTTCTTTTGCTTTTCTTCGCGACCCAGCTTCCTCCCTACGCGGCTTTTACGTACCTTTTCCAGTGCCGGACCGCGCGGATGGCAGTGATTAATCGCGCAAGGGTGGCCGGTATTCGCGGCGTACAACGAGCGACGTGTTGCTGCCTCCACATATCTACGAAAAAAAGACTTCGCCATTCCTATTTGCGACCCTACTTTAACCTCGTCGTTTCTTATCCATTCTTTCGACTGCTTGTCGCCCGTTTAGAGCTCTCTCTCTCTCTCTCTCCTCGTCGTCGACCTATGCTTTCTCGCGTTTAAAATCTCCTGCTGGGCAAGTAATAAAAGGGAAGCCTGATGTCTGCTACGTCGATGCCGTCGGCATAGTGAGTATGTACAACCAGAGCGAAAAATCTCAACCCGAACCGTCGCTCTCGAGAGCGGAAAAATATATAGCCCGCAGGAAAGCTGCCCGTCATGCTGTGGAATACCGCGGATGGAAACGCATTCGCGAAACGCTCGGTTCGAGAATCGATCCGAGCCGTCGGCGCGATAAAAGAAGAAATGTGGGGCGCGAGAGGAGGATAATTAGCGTATGCGCGAAAACACCCGGAACACTTACTGGGAAACATTTAGCTCCTGCGGGGCCCTCCACTTTGCTTAATTGCGCCCTTAAATCAACAGCCCATTACGCTATTGCCGTTTGCTATATCTGCCGCGGAGATCAATGCTCTCAGTGCATAAGAACAATTTCTTGGCGTTCCTAATGCAAAGTGTATTTCATGCGTTTTGCGTTCGCGTACTATTTGATGTTCTCGTTATACTATCGAATTGATGGTGGGATTCGCTGCGTTGATACGCTGATCCGATCTTTGTGGAGACAAGAGAAATGTGAAAAATATTAACGTTCTGTATCTGTGATAACTAAATTCTTTATTCGAAATTTAATGGTTAACGAAATATTATTTTTAAGCCAATTCTGAAATAAAACTTTGCGGAGCTTAGATTACAATATGCACTAATTAATACATTTAATTACTTAATCAAGATAGATAAATGGAATAATAGGTATTTATAACAATAAGTTATAAATTTAACGAGAATAAAACTAAGTAAGTAAAAATATATTAGAAGTGTACTATTAGATGATTAAAATATAATTTTTCTAATTTTTTTCTACAAGATCACGAAAAACGCGCTATAGAAATGATGAGACTTGCAAGTATACATAAGCGATATATGTTGAAGGCGGTTTATTTCTTACAATATCTTGGAGATATCTTGTAATTGCGGTTATATGTATACGTAAAACTCACAGCTTAATAGCGGATCTCGTGAATAAGAGGTTGGGTTTCCCAACTTGGTACCTCAGTCTGAAATCTCAGGTGTTATGTTTCTGGATTTTTCCAAGTTATCTTCAGTCTTCACACTAGAATTTCTCCCGGTGTTTCTGGATTCAGTTCGGATTGTGGATTCTAAATAAATAACCGTGGGTAATGTTGGGAATGCAGAAGGGGGTCAGACTATATTTGTCAGTCACCGTGTATTCCACGTCGTACGTTATGTATATTGGACGTGTAAACATTCTGCGACAACACTCGCGGAGAGCTTACTGTTTACGTTGTCGCGTTTATAACGCGAAAATTACCCGTTTTTCCCGTTCTCATTTTCTCCCTCTATCTCGTAAATTGCGATCGACGATAAAAATCAGGGAAAACGCACCGTGAATTCGTCGTGCTTTGGCTTCGATTCCGTCGCTATCGCCCGAAGGAGAAACAGGATTCTGTATCCCCCAAGATATCGAAAGGAAACGCACGCCGATAAGAAACTACGGGCCTTTTGCGATCGCTACTCACGCGCGCAGATGTGTTTCTCGCTGCTCCCGTTTTTTTTTTCATCCCTTACGTATTTCCCGGGGCCGGTTTCGCGAGAATGAATGGACACTTTATCCAGGGTTGAATCTGAAACACGGCCGCAACGGCGTTCGAAAAGCTTGGTTAGCTTGGCGCCCCGGGATAATTTCTCCAGTTATCGCGATGCTCCGACAGAGCTTCTGCAAAAACGGTTACTCACCGATGGAGATAAACGTAGTACGCATTAAAACAAGGATTTCTGCTTGAATAAAATGAAGCGAAATAGAACGAATTGGGATATAATGTACAAGAGATAAACATAATAATAACAACGGAATAATATCAAAATAGAGTAAAAGGAAATATTGTTAAATAGCGCAGCGTCTTATCTTTTCGCAGTTTTACAAGAGAAATATTTTGATAACGGCTAATAAATCAGAGTTTCGCTATTTACGCGAATAATAATTCTGAATGAAAATTCTGCAAGGTCTTTAGCAACTTTTAATTCGCGATACGGCTTGTGTTTAATTGAAATGTACGCTTTACTTATCATTTTATTCGGTTGAACGTATTTCAAAGATTGTCTGTTATCTGTATATGATCTACTACATCGAACTATCGCAATTTCTTTTTGTTAGAAATACGGAGATTTCGGTAACTTTCGGATATAGCTACAGCCATCTATTGTATCAATAATATAATCTTGCGGTTCCATAAATGAATACTAGATGGCAGGTCGTTTCCGCCTAGTAACTATCGCAGGCAGCCGCGCGAGCAACGCGACGCACCAAGTTCCGCTCATGCTAGCATCACGTGACAAGAAGGCGAGTGGAGGGGATGCGCAAGCACAAACGTGCAGAGAGAAAATCCCGGCCATTCTCGACTATTCGGTCAAACGTGAGACAGTTCGAGTCACGTATCGGGTATTCTGCCACTAGAATCTTTTATCGAGAACATGTTCAAGTTCTGTTCAATACTTCTCGCTTGTACCGTACCAATTATTCAAGGTATATTCTTGCCCTTGTCGTTGCTCGTGTCGTTTTCAACGCTAATATCGTCTTTAATGCTTGTCTTGTATCAATCGCTCATGTTGTAATGTATTTCGGTGCCGTGAATTCTTACACGAGTCCGTAAAGATCAGTTATCATTCAAATTACGAAGAACGTGTTCGAACATGTAAACGAAGAAAGAAGAACGACATGTATTTCGGGCTCAGCCGAGCCTTTACTTGACGGTGGACATTCGAGCGATATATATTGGAAATCAAGAGCGGCCATCATTAACTTCGTTCTTTTCACGTGGCGAGACGAAATCGCCGCCATTATTCTGATTATTTGGCTCGCTTACAGCGAATGAGTTTCCCACTCTC